TTCAATGGGTTCCAAAATTGTTCTTATTGTTTCGTTGGGTTTTCTACATATAAAATCATATCATCTGCAAACAGAGAGCGTTTACTTCTTTGCCAACTTGGATGCCTTTCATTTCTTTTTGTTGCCTGGTAGCTGGCTACGACTCCAGTACAATCTCAAAGGAGAGTTGGATGAAGAGCATCTTTGTCTGGTTCTCACAAGGGGAGGCTCTCTGTTTCTCCCCCCTTGAGTTTGCTGGTGTTCTTCCACGCCTGCCTTTTATTAAGTTGAGGAATTTACCTTCGATTCCTATTCTGTTGAGTGTCTTTGTTGGGAATGGTGCCTGGATTTTGTCAGATGCCTTTTCTGTCTCAATTGATAGGATTGTGTGGTTTTTCATACACAGGCCTATTTTAAAAACTTTTGTCTGGTAGGTTGTGTCGTTTTTGTAATGGTGAGCCATTTTTACGTGAGACTGTAATCCTTTATGGGAGCAGATGATAGGACTGCAGTAGTGTTGACCTTGTATTAGCAGCCCGGTGCTAGCCCACTGTGCCAGCATAGCAGGATGTCTGTCTGTCCATCTGTGTGGCAGGGCATGAGAAGGGTAGGAGAAGGCTCTTTTTGACTCCACCTGCATCTTCCCACTGCTTTTGGAAGTTCTCACACTTTCCATCCTCCAGGTAACAGCCTCGCTGCCCTCGCTACCCCTGGGTTCTCTGGGATATGCCCTCCTCTGCCTCGGTGTGGGAGTCTCAGCAGGATCAGAAGCCACAGCCTACACAGCAAGCTGTCCAACTCAGCTGGGGAACTAGAGGAAGTGACCCCTACAGGGATGGGCATGAAGGGCGACTGGCATTTCCCCCAGGCCCGGTGGGGATGGAGGTGATGTTGGCAGTGATGAGGGTCAGGTGGGTGGCTGGGAGAGTGACCAGCGGTAGAAAGAGCGGGCATTTTCTCACTTAAACTGAGGCAGGAAGCTGGGCTTGAGGGTTTTGTGGCTTCTTGAGTTTCCTGCCCCCCAGCTCCGCTTGGTTTGTGGTCGCTCTCCTCCGGGAAGCCCCAGCTTCCCCCAGGGGGCTGGAGAAGAGGAAGAATCTCGACTTGCTGTGAAGGGGGTCCTCTCCCTGGGGGCTCCGTGTGGCTGTGGGAATCCCCATGAGAAACCCCATTGTGGTTCCTCCCTGGGGGGGACAATGGGAGCCGGACATGGTGACCTTCCAAGAGGTCAGCTCCCATGGTGCATTCAGGTCCTGGGCTGGTTACTGTTATTAGCGGCCACGGAATGGGTTCCAGCTCTGAGGACCACAAGGACTCTGAGGGCCGCCCCCGCCATCGGTGCTGGGCTTGAGCCCTCTGTTGTTGCTGTTGTGTCTTCTCCTCTCCTTCAGTTCCTTCTTTTTCTTCTTCACTGACCCGGACCGACTTCACTAAGCACGCTGTCCTCCTCCGGGGCCTGCTCCCTCCTGATAACATTTCCACAGTGCGTGGGACGCCCTCTGACCATCCTTCTTTCTAAGGAGCATTCTGGGTGTGCTTTTCCCAAGCCATCGTTGTTCTGTCTTCTAGTTGTCCGTCATGTATTGCGTGCGATATTCTTCACCAACACATACATCAGTATAATGTATCAAGTATGACCCAAGGCTTAAGGTCTGCGGCTGGTTCTGCAGTTGTCTTTGAATTGCGGAACATCCAGCCAGGACGCTTTGTCCCAAGGCAGCCTCCCAAGGACATTCTTTTCTGGGAATGATGCTGCACTGTTAGAGGTCACAGACTGGCCCCTCTTCCCTGTGTAAGGAGTGCCAGGCCTCTTCTCCTGAGAGGCTTTTAAACGACGATGGAGCCTAAGACCCTTAAAGAATGTTGACCAGAGCGATGGAACCTCTCTCCAGGTCACTGTAAGAAAAGTTATTTTCAGTCAAGAGAGTCCAGCAAGCAGTAATAGGTAGCACTGGTGGTGATGACTGTTGGCCAAGAGGTGTTTGTGGCGATGGTGCTGATGGCTGGCAGGTTACAATGGTAGGTTGGGGTGATGGAATTGGGGGTTAAGGTAGGGTGACCAGATTTAAAGCGAGACACTATTGACTGGGGGGCAGGGGGAGTGTTCTTGATTAAAAATTTGGTTGATATGGACCAAATAGACCATTCCCTAGCTTGTCGTGCATTCTTTCCAAAAATTGGGACTTTCTAAAAACGCCAAAAATCCGGTCTGTTCCGCCAAAAGCGGAACGTCTGGTCACCATAGTAAGGTGTTCCTGACAGTGGTCGTGTTTGTGATAAGGGTGTTGGTTGTTGAAGTGTTGTGGACAGTGGTGGTTTGTGGTGCTGGGACTGGTGGTGGAGGTGGTCGTGACAATGGTGGGACTTGTGGTGCTGGGACTGGTGGTGGAGGTGGTCGTGACAATGGTGGGA